GATACTCTATATTATATAGGAACCAATACAAGACTTGGTGATAGGAAATATACCAGATAGTAGAAACTTTGATGAACTAAAAAAAATAGAGATTGATGAAGTATCTGTTGTCACCACCAGAGCTCAAGAAAAGAAGAGAAAGCAAAACATCAAGCCCCTGCAAGTGTCAAATGGCGATATCCCAAATTTAGGTTTGCAGGAGAAGTCTATCGAGAAGTCCCACAAGCAAGTACAGGATTTTCACCCTTTGAGTTACTGTATGGAAATACAGTATGAAGTCCGATGCAAATATTGAAAGAGCTATGGATGGGAGAAGAAGGGTCAGAAGTAAGGAACACATACCAGTATGTGTTAGACCTCAGTAACCGACTGGAGAAAACCTGTCAACTCACTCGACAGAGTTTGTATGTAGCTGAAGGAAGTCAGATGCATTTTTATGACAAGGCCAAGAATCGACATTCTAAAGTTGGACAAAAGGTCTTAGTTCTGCTGCCCACAGACCACAACAAACTCACCCTGCAATGGAAAGGACCTTTTGAAGTACAGAAAGTACTCAACAGAATGGACTACAAGGTGAATATGAATGTGAAGACCAAGATCTACCATGCCAATCTGTTGAAGAAGTATTTTGGGAGAGAAGAAGACCAGACAGGTGCAGCTATTGAAACAGTGATGGATCTTGCAGGTGTGGCCATCATAGATGCAGAACAAGATAACAAAGACAATGACTCTGTCTTGGAAGATGAGGACCTACAAGACCCAAGATTCACTAGGTGGAGATGAAACATACAAAGATGTCAACATCTGCAAAGAACTGACTGGCAAGGAAAATAGAGAGTTACAAGACCTACTGTACCAGTATGCAGATATCTTCATGGATAAACAAGGAAATACAGACATTGTGCAACACAAGATCAAGTCCACAACCAGGGATCCAGTCAAAGAGAAGCCCTATCAGATGCCTTATGCAATGAGAGATCTGATAAAGCAGGAAGTTGAGGCAATTTTGGAAGCTGGAATAATCGAGCCTTTAAATTCAGCCTACTGTTCACCAGTTGTAATCTTGAAGAAGAGAGACGAATCAAACCATTTCTGCATAGACTTCCGGAAGTTGAACCCCATGACAAAGTTCGACTCTGAACCTATGGGTAACCCAGAGGCCATCATGGCAAAACTAGATCAGCCAGGTTCTTTTCAAAGATTGACCTCAGTTAAGGTTACTGGCAAATCCCAATGGAGATGGGGGCTAAAGAGAAGACTGCATTTGTGACACCAGATTGATGTTACCAATTTATGTGGATGTCATTTGGGTTAGTCAATTCAGCAGCAACATTCCACCGCATGATGAGGAAGATGCTACACAACACCACCAACATTGAGCACTAAGTGGATGACATTCTTACACACACTGCAAAGATGGGAAGACCATCTGAAGAGACTTAGACCACTATTTCAGCAAGTGATGGCACCAGGCATCACCATCAGGCCATCCAAGTGCTACATTGGATATTCTGTGCCATAGAAAAGGAAAAGGTAATTCACATACAAGATACACCAGGTCCAATGACCAAGCAGCAAGTCAGATCCTTCCTAAGGTTAGCGAGATACTACAGAAAATTCATCCAAAATTATGAGGAAATTACTGCACCATTGACTAACTTGACCAAGAAAGGCTTACCCAACAAGGTGAAGTGGGAACAACCACACCATGTGGCATTCCAGAGATTAAAGAACATGTTGGGAAGCTCACCAATTCTTAGAATGCCAGACTTCAACAAACCATTTATTGTTCTGGCTGATGCTTCAGACATCGGAAATGGGGCAGTACTCTTACAGGAACATGAAGATGGATTGTTTCCAATAACATATATATAAGTAAAAAGCTGTTGAATAGTGAGAAGAACTACTCCGTGATTGAACAAGAGTGTCTGGCTATTATATTTGTCATTCGGAAATTCCAGAACTATCTATATGGGAAGAAGTTCACCATCCAGACAGACTATCAACCACTTGCATACATTCAGAGGTGCAAGATTGAAAGTGTGAGGATCATGAGGTGGGCATTGTATCTTC